CTAGCCTTGAGTGAAAGAGCTCAGGGACAGCACCCAGGCCCTGCGTTCAAACCCCAGGATCAACACCAAAACCACAACAATAACAGCCTTTCCCTTCCATCTTCTAGGTGAGAGGGAACACCAAGCATCCAAGGGTGGTGCATCGCAAACACACATGACAGGTGTTCATGGATTGAACCATGACCCGGGGCTCCAGGTCTCCCCTTTCCTGGTTGGAGAACCGGAGATGTCACATACCCAGCTCCTTGTGGATCTTCCTCTGGACATCAGGCCTGGTCACCAGGTACATGAGGGCCCAGGAAATGGCCGTGGTGATGGTGTCAAACCCTGGTTGGTGTGGATGGGGAGGAGGAGAAAGAGAGACAGCAGCCAAGATGCCATCATTGACCAGAGCACAGCCATGAATGGAACAAATTCTTTCTCCCTCTGTCTCTCTGTCTCTGTCTGTCTGTCTGTCTGTCTCTCTCTCTCTGTCTCTCTCGCTCTGTGTCTCTCTCTGGGGGTGTCAATACTGGAGCTTGAACTCAGAGCCTCATACTCTTAGCATTTTCTACTCAAGGCTGGCGCTCTCCCCCTTAAGCCACTGCTCTCCTTCCAGCTTTTTACCGGCTAATTGGAGAGAAGAATCTCTCAACTTTGGCTGCTGGTGCTGGCTTTGAACCATGATCCTCAGATCTCTCAGCCTCCTGAGTGGGTTAGGATCACAGATGTGAGCCATGGAGGCTGGGCAATATGTCTGTTTCTTTTTTCTTTTGGGGATCCTGGGGCTTGAACTCAGGGCTTGGACTCTGTTCCTGAGCTTTTTTTCCCCTCAAGACTAGCGTTCAGCCTTTGAGGGGTGTGTGTGATGTGGGTGGGGGGGGGAATTGAGTCCTACCGGCTCCAAAGATGTCGTTGATGATGTTGATGACCTTCTCCCGGGGGATGGGGACGCCCTTGGCCGTGGACTCCTTCTCCGCGTGCATGAACAGTGCGCTCGTGATGTCCTGCACGTTGTTCTGAGAAGGACGAGCTTCAGGGCACCCATGCCAGGTCCCTCCCCCAGCCCACCCGGCTTGGCACCTTCAGTACCCACCGCCCACCCCGGCCTGCAGAGTCTGGCAAGCCTGGCTGGTACCATAGCCTCAGGTAAGGAGGGCATGGCCTTCCATGCTGTATCCCATTGACCTCCCCCCAGCCCAGACCCCACAAGTCCAGTTTCCCTAGGAGGAAGAGTTCCTGCCTGGATCCAGGAAGGAAAGGTGACCTGGGGATTAGCCCCATGCTGGGCTCAGGTTCTGGCAGGATAAAGGCTTTTTCATTCACAATGAAGCCCCCCCACCATGGCAGAAATATGCCATCATCTGCTTTATAGGCTTTTCTTTTTATAGGCCTTTTTCCTTTTCTTTCTTTCTTTCTTTTTTTCTTTTTTCTCTCAGTCATGAGGCTTGAACTTGGGGCTTGGTCTCTCTGTGTCCTTGAGCTCTTTTGCTCAAGGCTAGTGCTCTACCACTTTGAGCCACAGTACTATTTCTGGTTTTTGCATGCTTAATTACACTGTCTTTATTTATTTTTTTAATTTTTGTTGGTCCTGGGACTTGAACTCTTGGCCTGGGCACTGTCCCTCAGCTCTTCAGCTCAAGGCAAGCGCTCTACCACTTGAGCCACAGCGCCTCTTCTGTGTGCTTAATTACATATAATAAATAGTCTCACAGACTTTCCTGCTTGGGCTGGCATTGAACCGTGATGTTCAGATCTCAGCCACCCCAGTAGCTAGAATGACAGGTGTGAGTCCCCAGTGCCCAGCTGATAGGCCTTTCCTTTCTCAGATTTTGAGAGCGAAAGGGTCTGAGGATGAGGAAACTGAGGCCCAGGAAAGTGCTGGGGGGGGGGATAGCATACAGCTTCTCTCAGCATCCTAGACTCTTCCTAAACTTTGTGTGTATGTCTTAGCTGGTACTCGGACTTGAACTCAGGACCTAGGTGCTGTCTTTGAGCTTTAGTGCTCAAGGCTGGCATTCTGCCACTTGAACCACAGCTCCACAACTGGCTTTTTGTGGGTTAATTGGAGAGAAGAGTCTCACAGACTTTTCTGCCCAGGCTGGCTTTGAACTCCAGTCCTCAGAATCAGCCTCCTGAGTAGCTAGGATGCCAGTCCTGAGCCACAGGCACCCAGCTCTTCCTAGATCTGTATAGAACATGAACTGTGTGCACTGTCTTGGAGACAGGCCTCAGGGCTTCCCCGCCCCAGCCCCCCACCTTCCTCCCCACACACATCGGGCTCTGTGGCTGCTTCCTTTATCACCTGCATCCCTGGCTCACCTTGTCAAAGTCCTGGTAATGCTCTTGGACTGTTTTCTGCAGAAACGTGATGAACTTCTGGTTGAAGTCTTTAAACCTCTTCAGGGTGGGGTTGGGCAGGTAGCGGAGGATGGGAAAGAAATCCACGGCATTCCCAGAAGAGGCTCCCTCCACGAAGTCCTGGCTGGTGGTGACCACGGTGACCATCTCACTGTTCTGCGGGAAGTTCCCCCCGAAGCACATGCCACCGATGACGCGGGCCACCGACAGCACCAGATGCTCATAGGGGTCGAAGCACCCGGACTCTAACGTGAGCTTCTGGAAAGTGTCTGCGAGGCTCTTGGCCTGTCTGCTTGCGTGCTCCTCCAGATAGCAAGATGTGGAGGCTGGGTCCAAGGCTATGGAAAAGCTCTTCAGGGCATCTTGGGCCAGGCGCCGGCGGGCAGCCCACACGGGCCCAGAGTCCGGGTTAAAGGCTATGCTCTGGCCATTGGTCACTAGAGAGAAGCTGTACAGGTCTGGCCGTCCTTTGAAATCATCACCTTGCTTCACCAGGGCCTGGCGGATGGTGTCCAGGCCGCTCAGCACCACCACGGGGGTGGACCCGAGGCGGATCTGCAGGACGTCCCCATACTGCTGGCTCAGCCTGGTCAGCGCCAGGTGGGGGTTCTTCCCCAGGGTCAAAATGTGCCCCAGCACTGGCCACCCCCAGGGCCCTGGTGGACTCTTCAGGCCTTTGGGTACCCGAGATGTGGAGGTTCTGATGGCCCAGAAGACCAGGCCGAAGATGGCGGTCACCAGCAACAGCTCAGTGGCTGTGAAGGAGATGCCCAGCACCTGCGCCATGGGTGCTGCATGCAGGGGGCAAGGAGAGAGGCAGAGATGGAGGTGGGGTCATCATTCATTTGTACATTCATTCATTCATTCACTAGACATGGACACCCGTTCAGAACTCCTCCTCAGTTTCTAATTCTGAAGCTGGAGTGGAAATAAATGATTTTTGTGGTTGTTGTTGCCACATGGACTTTCTTGCTCCAGCTGGCTTCAAACCATGATCCTCAGATCTCAGCCTCCTGAGTAGCTGGGGTGACAGGTGGGAGCCACCACCAGTGTCTGCTTCTCTGCGTCTTGGAAGGTGAAGTAGCATGTGCCCAGGGCCAGGGAGTTTTCAAGCACTCTGCCACTAAGCCACATTCCCAGCCCGGTTATGGATTTTTCTAGTTCTAGGTAGGCCTTTCTCCCCCTCTCTCCACTCTGGGTCCTAGAAACACACCTGCTTGAGCCAGGTGCTGGTGGCCCAGCTACTCAGGAGGCTGAGAACTGAGGATTGAGGTTCACAGACAGCCCAGCCAAGAACGTCTGGGCTGCAGTGAACCTAAAGTAGAGCTGTGCTCAATGTGGAAGAGTGCTAACCTTGAGCAGCAAGGCTCAGGGACAAGCCTCTGGCTCTGAGTTCAAGCCCCAGGACAGGCAAAAAAAAAAGGCTGAGAAGGTAGCTTAGTGGTAGATGCTTGCCTCACATGTATGAAGCCCGGGGTTCGATTCCTGAGAACCACATAAG